ATATCATCATGTCAGCTAAGTCAACACCACCCATATTTTGATTATAATCCTTGACCATATTAGGACAATCAACATCGACTCTTTGCTTAGCGTCCTTGCAGTATCTCTTCACTTTATGGACGGGATCAGCATCTGTGTATGAACTTATTAGTGTGGTACATTTATTGTCGTACCATCTTACGACAACTAATTTGTTTTTGTTGCAGACACACTGACAATAACTTCCTCGTCTCTTCTTCTTGAGAGTCTTTTCACAGATCAATTTATCTTCTGCCCCTCTCAGTCGGTTGATTCGAATTGTCCCTAAAGAAAATAAACCATTTCTCGTAGTAGATATTCTTCTAATTCGGGCGACGAGAAGAAGTTATCAAAATATACCATAGCAGGCTTATTTCGTATGGTTTGACATAGAGCAATAACAATGTGTGCCCCAAAACCCAAAGATTGCTCTTCATCTGTAAACTTATGATTCCTAAAGGTATTATCTCCTCCATACAGTATAAAATCGTAAATTATACCAGATGTACCTGCCCGAACATAGTTTTTAAAACCCCATTTTATCGGTTTATCTTTCATGTATTGCCTCCGTTTACCGGCTTTACGCCCTTTGTATGCAATCATCATCTCGTCGATGCTGAACCTATTTTCATCTTCATGAGCAATACAATTTCTACGTATCTTCTCTATAATAGATCTTATCTTATAATATCTATCACTATTTTCAAAATTGTTATCAACAAAATGAATAAATCTTCGAATTTGCTCGTACCTTTTCAAGGGCATAACTTCTGCTATTTTGTCATATCTGAACTTCATGCTCCAGTAATCTAAATAAGAGCTCAGAGGTACAATACCTATCAAAATGTGTATTGCCAGGAAGTCACGCAACTCATTCTCTGTTAGCTGTATGGATCGGCCAGTTCTTTGGACTGAATAAGCGTTTGTTTCATTGACTATATCTGTTATGATATCTGGTGAGAAGAAAAAAAAGAAATATTGTAAAGGTGACAAAACTTCGGGGGCATCTCCAGACATAACCAGATCTTCTATTTGAGCTTTGTGTAAAAAAGTACCTTTTTTCCATTTAAAGTCGAGTGTCAGCTTTTGTAGTTCCCTAGGCCTTTTTTTAGCTACAAAAGTAGCTGTTTGTCTTCTTTTTCTAGTGACTGGGGATAGGGTATGTAAAGATGGTAAAGATGATATAGAGGGCAAGTTTTGAAAGTTTGGTTCTTGTATTCGATTAGGTAGAATTTCTTGTAAAATAGGAGTTAGAGGAACATTGGATAAATCTGTTTCAGATTGGTTTTCAGGTAGTGTTTCAGAGGAACCATCCAAAAGATTCATGCGCTCTAAAGAGGAAGCAAGCGATGGTGCAGGCGAGGAGGAGTTAGAATCATGCGACTCATCAAGCTCATTTCCAGAATTTGACTTGTCACTTGTTTCAGATGTTGCACGCTCTCTAGGTACAAGTGCTAATATTTTTTTCGAGCGTTCATGCAGGCGACACTGTCAAAGAGCAAAAAAAGAAAAGCTAAGCAAACCACCACAAAAATAAAAGCTATATCACGAGAGTGTAACGATTTGTACTGATTTTATGAAATGATATGTACGTAATTATAGGAATTTATATATATATATATATATATATATATATATATATATATATATATATATATATATATATATATATATATATATATATATATTCATAAAAGGTATGCTCATTATTATAAAAAAACCATTGATATTTATATAGAAAACTAAATACTTTGCACTGTCATGAAAGGGAAATACACATATCTATTTATTACTATGTTATTGACAAAGTCCGCTGCCATGGACAAGTAAAACTTCGTGTGCATTGCCGTAGTTTCGGTACGGTCCGGCGTGGCGGACAACTACTTAGGAGGTCTATTTTTAGTAAATAAACTGCAATTACTATATTGTTTTGTTAGTGAATGTATGCGTTATCTACATGACAACAAATATCACAACAAAAATCCAATGTAAAAAAATAAACCTTGAGTAAAGTTGAAGACTTCCGTGTCGTCGCCATCTTGCTCAATAAGTGACAGATGACATATTGCCAGGTCACTAATTTATTTTTCTACCTTTCCTTTATTATATTTTCTAACGTTTATTTAAAAAAAGTTAAATATAAACTGAATTAGAATTGCAACAGATTTTTTTAAAGTACTTGGCCATCCTACTGGACTAATTCGAAATAAGGGTTAATATTTTGAATATAGATGTTTTATTCATAATTGCGTATTAGTTCAACACTAACCGCTAGCGTAAACTTAAACGCTAGCTAGTATGTTCATTTTCCGTATCGGTATGTCACGCTCTCGCGCCAATGAGCGCTCGCCCGCAATCGATACGCAACTAATGATGTATATTCATCTTTTTCTAACGATAGGTATGCCCTATCATTTGTCTCTTTTTGTTAGCGCTACGTGTCATAATAAATAACTGTACGTAGATATAGTACTACCTGCGCCACTTTAAAATACAATAATGTTAGTGTGTAACCTGCCTTTCTTTTTAATAAGTCTTTGATATAACGTAATTAATTATCATTTCTATTTTGTTTTTAATCTATATTGCTACACCTACTTCAAATTCTTACCACTTCATGGGTTGACTGGTAGAGAATGTCACAAGGCATTGTATTCTTTTAGATTAAGGAATGCAATAAAGAATAAATAAAAAAAAAATAGTTCCAGAAAGTTCTTCCATGGAAATTTCTAGAAGGATCTTGACTCTCCTAGTTCTGTGTGTTCCCAGGTACCAGGCATTAATAGTGGTGTTCAAATTAATAGTGGTGCAAAAATTTAAATTATTCAAATCGCACGCGTACTGTACATTCATACTTTTTGCGTTAATTTAGATAATTTTTGCCCGCCAACAGGAGGAACAAGCCCGGCGGTTGGAAGAGCAGCTGCAGCGCGGACAGGAGGAACAGGCCCTTCGGTTGGCAGAGTAGCTGCAGCGCGGACAGCAGGAATAGGCCCGTTGTTTGGAAGAGCAGAAGGACATTCACGCTACCTTCGGGAAAGAGATAAGGGAGGTTAAGGATAGGGTTGCTCATCATGACAACCGCCTAAGATAGTATAAATTCCATAGTATTTGATACTCACAACGCCCGATGCCCGATTTATGCTTGATGCCCGACGGTAGTGTGCCGAGGGCTTGATAGCGTGGTTCATCGCCTACAGCGTTAGGCAAAGAGAAGAGGATCTCGTGGTTAAGTAACAGCTGCGCGGATCAATAGGTCTGCGAGATTAAGCTGCACTTGCCGCGGTCAGTCCATGAATGGGTGACCGTTTTCTTAACATACCGAGATTGAGAGAACAAAGAGTGCATCTGTATCCGCAGACACTTGGTGCACTTTAATATCTTCTGCCTATTTGGCTTGTCTATGTGTCTATCTTGTAAAGATCATTATGTTTCTAAAATTCATGTAGCTAAAATGATAATAAGTTAATTATTATATTTTTCAGGGACAGATGGAAGAAAGCGAGAGTAGCGTCATAAATATTTTCTTGGCCTTTAAACAGAGCAATCTTATTTAACTGAATCCGACAAGTTTCCTTACTTAATTTATTAAGTATAAATTCATATCTAAGTCGAATGTTAAAATTAATTTTTATAATATATTTAATTATTTATTACTAGCTTCTGCCCGCGACTTCGTACGCGGATCCTGTTGCTTATGCCAGCGATAACGGGGTCGTCAAAATCGAAGATCTGAAACATCTGATGTTGAATTCTAAGAGCCCGGGGACGGGAAAACAACGCGATTCGCGAGACGATTCGAGACGTTCTAGATCTTTCATTTTTGTAAGTCAACAGGAAATGGCCATCAGACTAAACAGCTTTTGCTAAGACGTTATTCCTATATATGTATGTTATAGTGTATAGTGTCGCTGGGCTTTGGATGGAGTGTAACTCCTTGTGTGTTATTAAGTTAATATATTGGTAATATTGTTTAGATCACGTTCACATGAGGCTTAAGTACTTATAGAACAAAAATACTTCAGCGCAAAGCTTCCGGGTAAACTATGTTGAAAGTTGACCCGTCCGGCACGTGTACATAAAGATTTCTAGAACTGCTAACCCGGGAAAGAGCGACGTACAACTGACCATGCGAGAAACAACTGACACCGAGATCTACTCCAGCAACACGAAAAGTCTGCCCTTGAGCCTTATTAATTGTCATTGCATAACACAATGATACTGGGAATTGCGTTCTTTTAAATTGGAATGGAAAATTATTTGGTATTATGGGAATTCTGGGAATAAAGACGGTTTCTCCTGTACCGCAACCTGTTAAAATTTAAGCCTCGAATATATTTTGTTGCAACAGGGTTACTTTTAGCCGAGTTCCATTGCAAAGTTGTGGTAGTCTTAAATTTTGGAGCAGAATAATCGGAATGCCAATTTTTAAACAAATTTCGTGAGAAGGAAGTCCGGGCATATTTAAAGAATTTAAAAATTCTATCGGGTAATTAGTGGCTTCTTGTTCATCGACCATTCTATTTATTGAACTATAAACTTTGCTTTCCCCCTGTATATTCGACAGTATTTTCTTATTAATCTCAGATGCCTGGTCATTGCGAGGAGTTAAAATGGATCTATCGCATAGCCAAAAATTGTCCCTATTTAATATAATTGTTACGTTACCGTAAACCGACGATATAAGATGTGGTTGGGATTGCACTATACAACATAACTCAGGCGTCAGAATAAGTTTTCCTTGGTGTAGTTGTGGATAGGTACCTTCCCCAATCTTTAATAATTTATCAGAAAATTGACGATCATCCGGGTTATCTCCAGTTCTCACTCGTATGTTTATAGTCAAATATACCAATTGTATATCACGCTACAAATAAGAGCTTTTTAGGCAAGCCCTAACCTCATCAGCTCGGGTTCCCCGTGGTATTACCGGTAAGGTTTGTCGGAAGTTACCACAAAATAAAACCGTGATACCGCCCATTGGTCGATCATCATTGGGACACCCTTTTCTAATGTTGCCAGCAGTTCCATTAAGTTGTAACCAGTCTCTGCAGAATATTCCCTATTGGTGACCTCTCCGACTGAGGTTGGTGTTGGCAAACCATATTCACAGAGTGATTTACCGCTTACTGCTGTTAAGTCTTCCTGAAGAGCTAATAAGCACAGATTTATGGCAAGATTACGGAAATTATCATTAGTTGCGCCTTCATCATTGTGAGATATATTCCAAAGAAAGTCTTTCTTTACATTAGAAATTTTTCTTTATATTTTTCCCATAATTGTATAGCATCTGACAAATTATAAAATGTGAGTTATGTTACAAATAAATGGCGTCACCGTCGTGGATTATCACTAACACAGGATTCTGCTAAAGCGTCATCCCAATGCTGATCATTTTCAAGCAAACGACGCGCTTGGCAAGCTGCGTGGTAAGTTGGATAAACAACATTGTCTAGTTTTCTCAAATCTATAAATGTAGTTGGTCCTCGCACTGTATGGAATAATAATCGCAAATAGAAACACTCAGCGTTGTTAGGATGAACGGTATACACTCTACCAAGAACATGTTCTTTGAAAATACTCGTTGTTTATCGTAGGTATAATACGATGGAACTTCCTCATACAAAAGAGATTTTGCAAAATTATCAGTTTGGCAAAGTCGAAAGAATGCTAATAAAGTTGTTTGTCTAGGGTTCTCTAATCGTTCTGTAACATTTTCGGCGTTGAAATATATACGTTGACCGCCTTCAAGATGAAAATCCAGATGAGTCACAGGTGGATATCTTTCGTGAATGTTGAAACTTAAGATCCGCCACACAGCTTCTGAAGAGCTGATATATCTGCCTGACTGAAATCTAGTAACTTCATCATGTTCATTTCTCAACGCAAATGTAGCTTGGTCACTGCCCTTGTTAATATACTTACAAATATATTTTATTGACTCTACACTATTACACATTTCAACATTTATGTGAGCTTGAAATGTTCTAGACATCACAGGCGAATACGGAACGACCCACCTATTATCTAAAGTAACCTGTTGTCCAGACACTCGCTTTTCAACAGTACAACCACCATTGTCTCTTGAACGGCGACGATATAATGGGTATCCATCATGTCCTGTTACAGTTTCATCCACTAATGCTTTTGGATATCTTTTAGTGCAACGACCGTCTTGCATGCAAGGAGCATTCCCGTTAAATGCACCACATGGACCATGTATCATATGAGTTTTAACAATGTCGTATAACACGGGATATGCAATCGGATCTGGAATTTCAGCACTGATTGAACTGTCTACATCATTAGGTCGAACCTTATCTTTTAACCAAACCAGGATATGTGCGTGAGGTAAGCCCCGTTTTGGCCACTCAACACTATACATATAACACAATACATCTCGAAAAATGTTATCTTTGGTAAGTAGATCGATCATTGATTTTAATTTTAAATGAAAAACTCTTGTGATAATATCATGGCGGTCATGCGGTGCTTGACCCTCAATAAGTTCCCGAGTGATTTCATCCCACTTGGAATTGGTAGCTACAGTAATAAATAAGTCGGGACGTTCATATTTTCTTACGTAACAAAAAGCAAAGAGTTCGTTCGTGCATGTAGCGTGGACCAACAGTAAAAGAAGAGGGTAAAATAACTAAACGGCCCATATTCACTGTATCATTATCTTGCTGCATGGCGTCGCGAAGGTGCACGTATTCTTCAGCGCGACAGAAGATGATCTGTAATCAATTGTGAGGTTATAAGCAAACCCACTTTTATATTTGTCGGACCACGCCACCGAATTTGTAGATTGATCTTCTATGTGTACATCTAAGTCATTAAGACTATGTCGAAATCTGTCCGCAGTAAGACGGGCCTCTCGCTGTTCGTCCGTTTCAAGAGACCGAATATTTTCAATTCTTGATCTTTCATTAGACAAACTTATTAATCGTTCTTGTCTCAAAGAATTGTAATATTCGCGTCCCGACTCTAGTCGTTGTTCACGCTCATGTTCATCTTCAAGAGATCGAATAATATTATGGTGCACTCTATCATTTGTCAAACGGTCTTTATATAGAGTAAAAGTCTCAGATTCTCGAGATAAAATATGACGTTCGGGATCAGCTGTGACACGTAATTCCCTCTCAGTGCAGGTTTTGGACTCGCGAGATAATGTATGCCGTTCGAGGTCAGCTGTGAGACGTAATTCCCTCTCAGTGTAGGTTTCGGACTCACGGGATAGTACATGCCGTTCGCGATCAGCTGTGAGACGTAATTTCCTCTCAGTGAAGGTTTCGGACTCACGGAATAGTACATGCCGTTCGCGATCAGCTGTGAGACGTAATTCCCTCTCAGTGTAGGTTTCGGACTCGCGAGATAATGTATGCCGTTCGCGGTCAGCTGTGAGACGTAATTCCCTCTCAGTGTAGGTTTCGGACTCGCGAGATAATGTATGCCGTTCGCGGTCAGCTGTGAGACGTAACTCCCTCTCAGTGTAGGTTTCGGACTCGCGAGATAATGTATGCCGTTCGCGGTCAGCTGTGAGCCGCAATTCTCGTTGTGAAGCAGTTTCAGCCTCACGGGTTAACACATGTTGTTCTCGGTCAATGGTAAGCCTTAGCTCACGTTGAGAAGAACTTTGAGACGCCCGTGATGTAGCTCGTCTCGCTCTGTCAGCTGCTAATCGCATCTCTCTTTCTGGAGAGCTTTTATTGGCTCGAGAAGTTGAGGCACTAACTCTCATAGAGTTTAACCGATGTGCTCTTTCCTCTGCCGATTCTTGAGAACGTACATTTCTCATTCTCTTAGATAATCGTTTTTTAGGTGGCATTGTGTATTTTATTTTTAATCGACGGCATTCAGTTACCTAACAAAATAATCTACTTTAGAGGTCCTAACTATAGCTACCATACACTTAAAAAAATCTAAATGCCTACTTAAATAATAAAACGGATCCTAAATCAATCCTTAAATCCAAAATTAAATTGTTAAAAATATATTATTAGGTACCTAAACTACGTCTAATAGAATGAAATAACCTATTTGATACCTAGGTACCTATTTAAAACTACAGCTAAATAAAAAAAAGTTGAATTTATAATTAAGCTAATACTAAGAAATATTTAAACACTACCAAAATAACTAATACCTAGTTTATAAAATAACAACCAAAGAAATCTAAAAATAAATTACTAAACATAAGAGTAGACTAAAAGTCGCGATGATAAGCACGGTTTGTTAAAATCAATTATTGTCTGTCAATAAGGTCGAACACTCTGAACTCTTCGCATCAATCGCTCTCCAGTTTTCGCCATGCGCTCGATCAAGCAACACGTGTGCGCAAAAAAAATACAGGTAAATATATTTCGCATGCGGTCATGGTGACCGACGCTAGGTTGTTACGTAACTTTTAGTGCTAACATTTTCGTGTTGTTTTTTAGGTTTATTATATCTGAACGTGATCAAAATATCATTAGAGGGTTAGAAAAGTGTGAATTAGATTCCGAGGATGAAAGGGACGTGCCGGAATTACCAAATGAAGACTGCAGTGATGTAGAAGATGTACCATTAGACCACGTCATTGATGGCGAGTGTCAATCAGACTCTGAAATTGATGTTGAAGAGTTAAATGAATATAACGATACAAATGATCTGCCAGTTGATGATGCATCTTCCGATGATGATGTTCCATTGTCAAGATACCGGAACTATTTCGGAAAAATCGGTTCCGTTGGTCGTCTCAACCTCCAGTTTCGCGATCAAGGACTTTCCAACACAACATCGTTCAGCAACCTCCAGGATTGAAAAGGAACTTCAGAGATGTTTTGAACAGTAATACAACATCATCCGATTTATGGCATTTATTTTTTACTGATGATATGTAGAAGAAATTGTAAAGCATACTAACGAAAAAATTTGAAAGGTAAGACCTAACTATCAAAACCAGACATGTGTTCAAGACCTTGACGTAATTGAGCTGAAGGCTTTTATCGGTATGTTGTACTTTACTTCAATTTTCAAAAAGAACCACACACATTACACATGTTGGTACAGCACAGATGGTACAGGAAGAGAGATTTATCGTTGTATAATGAGCAAGAACAGGGTCGAAACATTGCTGAATTGTCTTCGTTTTGATGATGCGAGCACCAGAGATGAACGCCGTAGCACTGATAAAGCTGCACCTATATCTCAGCTTTTTGAATAGCTGATACAAAACTGCAAAGAAGTTTGTTCAATTGGCAGTTACGCTTGTATTGACGAGATGTTGGTGGCTTTCCGTGGGAGGTGCAGCTTCAAAATGTATATGCCGAAAAAACCCAACAAATATGGATTAAAAATTATGTGCATGACTGATGCCAAAAACGGATACCTTGTGGATGCCTACATATACTTGGGAAAAGACTCAGATAGCCAAGGCTTGCCCATTGAATACCAAAGACTGAACAAACCCACGCAAGCGGTTTTGCGATTGGTTGCGTCGATTGAAGGAACCCACAGAAATGTAACGACTGATAACTGGTTCACTTCGGTGGAGCTAATGAACATCCTAATGCAAAAACAGCTGACACTTGTGGGTACCCTTAAAATAATAAAAGGAAATTGAGGAGGTACTTCACCTCCTCAATTTCTGCCTAGCCGTCATCGGGATGTTGGCTCTTCGATTTTTGGATTCACGTCAGATGCAACATTGCTATCTTTTGTACCAAAGCAAAACAAATCCGTGCTTGTTCTTTCCAGCATACATCACTCACCAACCATCGATCCACAAAAGCAAAAGCCAGAAATGATTATTTTTTATAATAGCACCAAAGATGACGTCGATACATTAGATCAGAAATGTGCCATTTACTCAACTTCTCGACGCACACAGCGCTGGCCAATGGCGGTCTTCTACTTCTGCAGCAAATGCGTACATCATCAGCAGCATGAACCAATCTCAGAGAAAGGTGCCCAGACTGAATTTCATGAAACAACTGGCTGAAGACCTTATTACACCCCATTTACGACGTCGAGCGAACCAGTTTGGATTGCAAAGGGAACTTCAGAACGCTATTCACCGGGTTCTCAAAATAGATTAAGAACCCAAAACATCTTCGGCAGACAGCTCTGACAAATTAGAAACACGCAAAACTTGTTCAACGTGTGACCCAAAGAAGAAACGTAATACATTCCATTTGTGTTTTCAGTGCAAAAATCCAATTTGCGTTGAGTGTTCTCAAAAAATGTGTGTACGCTGCCGCGAGAAATTGTGAATGTTAGGGTGATGTAATTTTGTAACGATTGTGATTTAATTGTGCCAATGATAGTTTTATATAAGATGTTATATATTTAAGTTACTAAAATATTTAAAAACTAAGAAGTCTCATTGATTGTTATTGCTTAGAGCTCAGCTTAATCGGAAAACCTGTAATTTGTTAAAATATTCGTTAGTCAATTTTTATTAATAGTAATAAGAAGAAGTATTAATTTGAAGATTTTATTGAAACAATTTGAAATAAAAAGAACTGAATGTTTTTTGTAGTTTCAATTTTTGCCAATTTATGATTTTTTTCACCTTTATAATAGTACTTATATGCAAGCGGTCACCATGACCGACGTTAGGTGGAAGTGTTACTAGAATACACGTTAGGTGGCTAACGGTGAATTAGGGATTAGTGAGAGTGTTATAAACGTAAGAGTAGACAAATATAATCAGAAAGCTCCGAACTGCTAAGCTATCGGTAGTTACACGTGTTATTGTGAGTCAACCATAAAATATAGACATATGCTGTTGTGGGATATTTTTTATATAATTTTAAGGAGAACATTTCCGCTATACATAATTTCTGTGTAGCTTTAACCATTAAGGCTGCACACGCGACGGAAGCTTAAGAAATGGAGTAATTTCTCCCGTTTCCCCAACATTTACCTATACTGCTCTGTTCCTATTGATCGTAGCGTGATGAAAAGTATACTATAACCTGCCCAGGAGTATGAAGAATGATTGTACCAAGTTTCGTTAAAATCAGTCGAGTAGTTTTTGTTTCTATAACGAACATACAGACAGACAGACAGACAGACAGACAACAATTTTACTGTTTGGATTTTTGGCATCAGTATCGATCACTAATCACCCCCTGATAGTTATTTTGGAAATATATTCCATGTACAGAATTGACCTCTTATACAGATTTATTATAAGTATTGTAATATAATAATGTTTGTAATTATTGAAATAATAATAATCATCATCATCATTACAGCCCTTCACAAGTCCACTGCTGAACATAGGCCTCTCACAAGGAATGCCACAAAGCATGGTCCTGAGCCACCTGCATCCATCGACTTACCAGGTCGTCACTCCATCTAGTGGGGGAACGCCCCACACTTCGTCCTCCGGTACGAGACCACCACTCGAGAACTTTTTTCCTCATCGATTATCGGTTCTTCGAGCTATATGACCGGCCCATTGCCACTTCAGCTTACTAATCCGTTGGGCTATGTCATACACTCTGGTTCTACTGCGGATATCTTCATTTCTAAGTTTATCACGCAGAGAAACTTCGAGCATAGCTCGCTGAGCTAACTTGAGCTTCCTCAACCAGCTAGCAGTGAAGGACCACGTCCGGTTTCAGTCATAGTCCATAGGTCCTCATTGGTAACACGCACTGGTTGTATAGGTCATCACTGGTAACACGCACTGGTTGTACGTACAGTCTTGTTTTCAAGTTTTGAGGTATACCTGACGAGAAGATGTGCCGTAATTTCCCGAACGTTGCCCAGCCGAGTTGAGTCCGTCGATTGACCTCTCGGTCGAAGATGGACTTACCTAGTCGAACTATTTGTCCCAGGTAAACATACTCGTCAACAACGTCGAGCTTAGTGCTTCCAAGAACTACCGGCATAGGTGTGACATGGACGTTATACATTAAATATTTTAAAATAATAGGTATATGAAAAATAAAGCAGCCATTATGTACTCCGAGTCCCCGTTTTTTATTTCAATAGCAAAACATTTTATAAAATATATAAAGTATAAATAGGTATTTACTTAATTAAGTATCTTTAGCTTTCCTAGATGTTTTAGTCATCCGAAATCCTGATAATACTATTGGTCACACTGTGTGTAGGAAAAAGATCCATTCCAAACGCTATTTAAATGGTGAATCGCACCCTCATCCATCACAGTTAGCTACCGTGGGAAAATCTTTGTTTCAGAGGCACGAGGGATCTGTGACAGAAAACATCTGGCCGCTGAGCTTCAGCACGTCGAGCAAGTATTGCAAGACAACAAGCTTCGGGTCCCGCGCTTACGTCACAGTGACCGAGTGAAGCCGGCCATAGTCGAGCGTGTGCCTCCTGTACTACCCTATTTCAGAGGAGTCACAGACAAGGTTGGCTACATCTTGAAGCGAGCTTTCATTAAACATACTTCAAGCCGCTGAAGAAGATCAGTAAATTTTTACCAACCGTCATGTGTCATATCCCTCTACAAGATGTAGGAGTGTACAAGCTGGATTGTGAATGTGGTCTCTATACATGGGACGAACAAAAAGATCTATAAAAACCCGTGTAAAAGAACATATAGTTGACATGAAGCACCAACGTTCCGGGAAGTCAGTGTGTGAACATGCTCAAGATCGTCCCCGCCATTACATCAGATTTGATAGACCACAAATCCTCGCAAAAGAACACCGATTGCTACCAAGGATGATACGCAAGGGTATTGAAATTAAAAAGCATCCTGATTTCAACAGAGAAGATGGATGGGTGCTGTCATCTGCTTGGGATCTTATAATTCATCATCATCATCTGAGGCATTACCTACAGCCGCGGGTGGGCCTTAGCCTGGTCCAACAAAGCTCTCCAGTCCGATCTATCTTATAATATTACGATCTTATAATTAAGAAAATTAAATCCAAACCCAAGCATACCACTGTAAGACTTCGAGATTCTGTAAGCTCATTCTGCGTAGATTGGACCAAAAATTAATATTCAAAAAACTGAAGGTAGCCGGGCTACGTCACGCGGACGTCAAATACCTCAGTCACCCCCCCCCTCCCCCCTCTATGACCATGGGTGCTGTAAAGCACCCGAAACGTCGGGAATTAAAATAGTAAATTAAACGCGATAAAATCCGTAAAAATAGTTTTATTCAACGTGTAGTGTTCGCGTACACATAAGAAATCATTCAATAAATTTTATTATACGGAAAAATCATCGAAATTTTGTAACCGAAATTGATCTCAATTCTCATTTTTTTTAATCAACAATATATTAGAAATATCTGCATACATATATTTTAAAAAGTTTCAAAATGACGGTATTTATGTCATTTTTTACGCATGAAGCTGTAATTACACTAGTTATTTTTGTTATTTCTGGCCTGGTATCGAAGAGAAAAAGAAGTTCTCAGTGCCAAGAAGTACATAGGTACGGAGCTTAGTGATCATGTTCAGCACGGTTATTTTTGAATCGTTAACTCAATTAAGCATCGAGCTGGTGAAAATAACTTTTAAAGATAATATGGAGCCTTATCAGAAGACCAAGGAGAGCATTTCACCACGATGTGATAGACTTTGGCCGACGTTACCAAAGTCAATACAACACGAATATGATGGGAGTTGACATTTGGAATATAATACGAGAAAATCCATACCAAATTTAAGAAAATCACAAAAAATATTCACATTTGAACTTGTTTTTTATTTTTTATTTTACATGCGTTAACTATTACTAACTATAACTCTTGAATTTCAAGGACTCCAATGTTCAGCAAAATTTTTCTTTCGGCAGGCGGCTTCGCAGAGGAAATTTCATATTTCAGTTTTGTTTTGTTTTGCTTTAATATTATTATGCAAAAATTAACAGATATTGGTGTAAGTAATAATAATTGTAGGAAGATTGAATTTACAGTTTTACATCGAGTTCACAAATAAATGGCAAAGTACCATTGCAGTCATATGTAGAATAACTAGCCATGTGTTTATTTTGGTTACAATTATAACAATCGTCATTACGTTCGTTTACCACCAATATACCGCAGTTTTCTGCATTTCTTGGGAAAATATCAACTTTTTCACCTGGAACAGTTGTGGTTATTATTCATTCAATAATATAAGGTACATCAAACATTTAAGGTACATGGAGATAAACACTCGGCCTTAAAGTTTTCGTAAAACGCGATCAACCTGTGTTCGTTTCCCAACGCGGCACTAAGAAGTAGTTATTTGTGATGTTCAGTGTGGATTTATTGGTATATATTCCCATAAATATAAGGAAAAAATCATGCAGACATATGTATGATATCTATCAATGCGGTTATAATCGTCATTATTATGTTCGTTTACCACCATTACTACACCGCAGTTTTCTGCATTTCTAGGGAAAATACATTTTTTTTTTCACCTGGAACAATTGTGGTCATTATTCATGCAATAATATAAGGTACATCAAACATGTTAGCTTTCGTGCGGCACTATGAAGACGTTATTTGTTACATTCAGTGTGGATTTATCGATATATATTTCCACAAAGTTACTAAGTGGGTGGTGGGACCCCTTTTCTTTCTAGGAGACCGTCTTGGTAAAGAGAGGCGTTTTGAACCTAATGCTATTGTGTTAAGGTATAAAATATTATTGTAGAACACTCCCCGTTTACCGTATAATGGCGGTTTACGGACTCTTTCTGCCTAGGGGTCCTGGGTAGGTATAACACGCTTACCTATTTCTGCCGCTAAATAGCAGTACTTGCACTTCTGAAGGATAAAGAACCAGTAGAATTACAGGCTTTTGAACCTAATGCTATTGTGTTAAGGTATATAATACTATTGATAGATGATGTGAATGTTGAACTTCTAATGGCGTTGTAAGACCCCATTACCCCGTACTGTCTCTTGAGTGTCTTGAGCGGCGACACAGGGAAACAAACCAGGAGATGGGCAGCAGCGTCTTCCTAATAAAGAGTTGTCAAGCTGCGGTTGGCTATTTATGTGGGAGGTCTATGTTAAGCAGTGGACTTCATAGGCAATAATGATGACGGTATCCAACCCTGGTAGCTCGCTTTTTACGGCGAACGTTTAGCATATGACCTCCATGAGCTCTAGTTACATTACAGGTATTAATTATTTTCATATGACCACGGAGCACAATTAACCTGATTGTATGTAGATTTGAAATCGATAGATTCAGGTGACTCAAGACCGTGCTTTGTGGCATACCTTGGGGGAGGTTGTGTTCAGAAGTAGACTTGTGAATGGCTATAATGATGATGACGATTATAGCTAAGTATATATGTAATACGTATATATAAAAGTAAAGTACTGAAAATTGCATAAGTATTTCAATTGATGATAATGGCTATTGCATCTAGCTCCCTACTAGGCAAAGTACTTAATACGAAAAAAAAAAGATAAACTTATTGAACCCTACCTACATTCTTTCTCCAGCCGCACATTTTTCTCCATCAGATGGTCTAATAAGGTATTTGACACTCATATTCCGTTCAAAGAAGTGCTGGACTAAGTGAATAGGCCGGCTACATAGCTCGAAGAACTAACAACAGATGAGGGTGAAAAGGTTTTCGAGTGGCAACCTCGTATCGGTAAGCGAATTGTGGAGCGACCCCCTCGAAATGGAGTGACGACTTGGTAAGTTGGCTCAGGACCGTGCTTTGTGGCGTTCCTTGGGGGAGGCCTATATTCCTTGGGGGAGTCGACTTTTGAAGGACTATAATGATGATGATAATGATTCAATTGAAATATTCTTGTGAGCTGTCAAAATGAAACTTGATTAGAAATTGTATGGGAGTACGAGTAAATAACGTCCATGAGAAATTTTTATAAATACCAATAATCACATTTGAAAAATAATAAGAAAATTCCAGTACTAAGTTTATTACCTCGAACAGAATAAAAAGCGTTATGTGGCATGATCCTTCTAAATCCCATAAAAAAATATTTTACTTCTGTGATCATGTTCAATATATCATTTAATTCCGAGCTGTGTATGGCGGTTGACAATATGCCTCCTTCCATGTAACAAGTGTGCATGGCTTCTGCCCAAGTAATTTCCCTTTTGTGCACTTTGTAGCATTTCTTTGTAGTTTTTGAGTATATATACCCTGAAAAAAAAACGGTTTTCATTTGAAGAGATAGTAATTTAAAATTATGTAAACACTATGTATTTAACATCTTTTACAACATTCCGTTTTGGTTTTGTTTTATTGCAGATAATCTAAAAGGCATTTTGTGCTCTTTGCAATCAATCAACTTTAATTAAGGTGTAGATATTACATGGTAAAATGTAAATATATAAATGTTTTAAATAATAATGTCACCCAGATCGTGTTTCGGTCACGGTGGCCAGACTCTACGAAGACTAGCAATCTGCCCAGGATAGGATTATAATGCCCAAATTTATGTGCAAGCAGAGGTGCCCTCTCTATTACCGCACTCTCATAGTCCGATGGGACGGTAAGCCAACACAACCGGAGAAGAGAAATCAGGCGCAGGACCAGGCACAGGGTTGAAACACCTTTATGACTCCGGGTAACTCTTAAGAATTTGTTGACAGAAAAACTCAATATCTGATTAATTAGATACATATTATTTATATTATATAAAAAGAATTTGATCATCATTCTCAACCTGCGGTAGTCCACTGATAGACATTCTTCCAAGGTACTTAGCTCAAATTACGCCCTTTCTCATCCAATTATTGCCAGCTGCGTAGCGCAGATGAAATTAATTATTTTATTTAAAGGTAAATTTTCATTTTATAAATAAATGTAATGGCCTTAGACTTTCTCGCTGTTTTTTTCAAATCGATGTTATAATTTGACGTTTATAATCGTAAGTTCTTTAAATAAGCCTACAGTCTGTTTCGTCGAGAGTTGATAAAAAATATGGTTCCTGATCTCGTTAATTATTTATAATAAAAAAAGCAGCCGAATCAGCATGCTCGCTCTACCTCGCGCTGGACACAGATTGCGACGTTTTAAGCGATAGTGGCTTTGGTGAGACGTTTTCAAAATATTTTTATTAAGCCTCGCCGAACAGACTTTAAACTGAAAAATAATATATTTCGCTATACTAAAAAGTAGTATGTGTAAGACTAACCTGAATCAATAGTGGGACAATATTCATTATCTTTTTTCTTGCAAATAAACGGTCTTTTGTTTTTACACGAACCGATGTTGTACCTGCCCGTGGTAACCGACATGACTAGGCATTTGGGTTCGGAGTCATCTTGATTAATACCGTGTAATTCAGAAAAATCTGGAAGGAAAAGTCCTGAGAAAAATATAAGAATATTATAATGCAATTATTTTTATTGAAAGTCATAGTTATTTGTAATCAGAAGGCTTTGTAGATATTAATGCATCCAGTGATATTTTTAAATTCTGGTTACTCTATTAACATTACTAATGACATGCTAACCACTCCAAGTATTCTTAAAATGCCTGTGATATGAATGATTTACGACAGTCATTAATATACAGTTATTCTTTAATTATTTCTTTAAATTCACAACAGCATCCACATTTGTTTTCATTGTTCGGAATATTTCCAATGCATTATAATACAGTTATAGCTATAGTAACGTGCGTAATGGTTGCGGACTGCGAATTTAAAATTCGTGTTTTCAAATTCGCCTTTCGTCACTAATGCAGTAAATACTGTGGGAGCGGTTAGTTATTTGTGTTGTTAATATCATTGTTAGTATTTCAAATAATATATCATCTATTTATCCAATAACATGTACGTAATTAATTAATTTGTCCTGTAAGACGAGTTTATCTTACGTTAAAGTGCTCTCTTCTCCGTTGCATGCATATTTGTCCACTACAAAGCGTGCTACATTCAGAGAACTAAAAGGTACTTTATTTGGAACGTTAGCGCTTATTATCAGGCTGTTATTTAGTATATTCGCCGTCAATGTCGAAAATCATTCTATTGTACTTACCGTCAAAAGAGAGCAAATCTCCGCGCCCTAATTCATCATGAACACCAACAAAGATTCCTTCTAAGTCGGGCGAATCGGATAAATTTCTCGCAATTTGCCATTCATCAACATCTTCGGGGTAAAATAAGCCGGCTCCTTCATCGTCGCAGGCTAAAAATGCTTCGTTCCACGTACCCACGGCATCAGCCCAGTGCAATTTGTAAAATGCATTGTATTCTTCTAAGAATGTGTAGTCTCGTCGAAAGAAATTCACGTTATGCGAGGCACTCACAACGGTGATACCTGTAAATAATTAGTATTTACGATAAAAATATCAGTGGTGTGTTTTTGAATCGCTCTACTTCATCAGAAGCGACTATGTGATATGCCATGGCTTCCGTTATGGCTTCTAATAAATGGCGGTAAACCATCTCGTTTACGCCAGGCGTAAAATACCCAGATCGGCTGCGGACAGCAGCATCAAAGATGCGAGACGACTGGTACTGCGATGGTCAGTCCAAGAACCTCATTTTCATTTTTACGGGCTGATGATTATGAAGAAGAAGATATAGGTAATTAAATATATTATGTAAAATGTAATATATGTTTTATAAATATTTTTCAAATGATGTGATGTGTCTTGCAATGACTTACCGAGGAAATAGATGAACAATTGATCAAACATCTTGGTGCAAAAAGGGAAGACTACGAAACGTGAAGCTGAATCGCCGCTTAAATATAACTTTGTTATCTAACAATAAAGAGGAATAACCGGCTAATACAGGATGTGTACATTTTTAATTTTAAAAAATACAATATTGACGTATGGTATAGTTTATCAATTGCAAAATATCAAACTCAAATTCCACAGTCTCATGATGTTCAATATTTCGGTGTGATAACAGGAAAAAAAATGAATCAATATATAACAATAAAATATAAATTGTTACTAAATGTTAAAAACAATTAAAATAGACATTTTGTGACAGTTTATATTTTCTAATTTAGTTTTTTTTGGAGCGCTAAATATAAATCATTTAATTTAATTTATTAATATATTATGCATCAAGCGACAGTATAAATCATTATCATTTAAAACTCTAACACTACATACTGTATTTAAAAAAATATCCTCCAGACCGAATTTCAGTCAGGGCGACCATTTCGACTGAGACTAGCAATCTGCACAAGACAAGATTAAGGTGCACGAGTGTGTTCGCAAACACAGGTGAGATACATAAAAAAGAGAGAAAATGTGATGTTATGACTAAAGAACTTTTAAACAGGATAAGAGCTCAATTCTCCTTGAAGGAGCGGGAACGCACCTGCAATTACCTTTTGTCATTTATGTCAAAATATTTTTTCTATTAATTAAGTTTTCTATAAAAAACGTTAAGAATTATTTTTAATTTTTGACCTGATTGTTTAGAACCGTCACCTTATTCCAGGTCGCTGCTTTTCGCCGAAATTCCATCTAAGGCTAGGGTCGCATAGTCCTTTTTGTGACAGCGGAGGCCGCGCTTGGACGGTTTCTTGCTTTGCTGCCTGTAGATGTAGAAATTAAGTTACATAGCATTACTTCACGCCCTTTGTTTCTGTCTTATTTTTCACTCAGTGAGGGCTAATAATCTGCCACTCACCAGATGTCGCTAGTTGTGAGTGAGGTAAAGTTTTTTGTTACACAATGTCAGTCAGTTGAGAAATCAGTTTTAAATAATAGTTTATCATTATCTAGAATATTATATTAATACACAATACATAATGTAGTGGCGGTCAAGAATATCCACTACCCCATATCCTCCCGTGGGTGTCGTAAAAGGCGACAAAGGGAAACAGGCAGGAGATGGGCAGCAGCATCTTCCTGATAATAGCCAAATTACAATAAAAAAACTGCGGTTGCCAACCCGCTCGCCAAGCGTGGCAACTATGGCAAATACCCCCCAATGAATAAAGCAACAAACAGACGGCCCCCAGTCCCCGGCGGCCCCGCTATTCCTGGCTACGGTGGCGACCATGGTAACGGCGGGGCAAGGGGTGCTAAGAATCTCCGGTGGAGGTTCGGTTGCCACCTTAGACGACTCGACCTGGCAACGTACAACGCACGCACCCTGAGGACTGACGAGAAGATCGTGGAGCTGGAAGAAGAGATAGACAAGTTGCGCTGGCATATTATAGGATTATCCGAAGTCCGAAGAGAGGGGGAGGACACGGTAATTCTCGAATCCGGCAACTTACTCTATCACCGGGAGGGCGACCATATGTCCCAAGGAGGTGTCGGATTTATCGTCCACAAGTCTCTCGTTAACAACGTTGTAAAGATCGGGAGTGTGTCGACGAGGGTTGCGTACCTTATACTCAGAATTACCAAACGGTATTCGCTGAAGGTCATACAGGTTTACGCACCAACCTCGGCACACCCCGATGAGGAGGTGGAGGAAATGTATGAGGATATCTCTAGAGCCATGCATTCCTCCAAAACCCAATATACGGTGTTAATGGGAGACTTCAATGCAAAACTAGGCACAAGAGAGAACGGTGAGCTGAAAGTAGGGAAATTTGGAATAGGGCAACGGAACCCAAGGGGCCAGGCATCTGAACAGACAGATCTCCAAATGCATGCGGCGGGACTTACGCAACTTCAATACAGCTCGTATTGAAGAAGCGATCGAGCGGAACCAAGGCTCCAAAGTCTTTGCCAGAGATCTGTCTGCCAGAAAGAGCCAACTGTCAAGGCTGAAGACAGAATGTGGCAGCATCGTTTCCGGGACACCTGAGATTTTGAGTGAGATTGAGAGGTTCTATGGGCAGCTGTACACATCATCGTTAGAGCCACACGCAAGTGTGAGTAACGATCCAAGCGCGAGTCTCATCCGACACTATTCCGAAGATATCCCGGATGTCAGTCTGAGCGACATTAGAATGGCTCTCCAGCACCTTAAAAACGGTAAGGCCCCAGGCGAGGATGGAATTACAGCGGAGCTTCTGAAAGTGGGTGGAAGACCGGTACTTGAAGTCCTTCAGAAGCTCTTTAATTCCGTCCTCCATGGTGGCATTACACCGGAGGCGTGGAGCAGAAGTGCGGTGGTCTTGTTCTTCAAGAAAGGTGACAACGCTCTCTTGAAGAACTACAGACCGATTTCCCTTCTGAGCCGCGTCTACGTGCTGTTTTAGAGAGTCATTACGAATCGTCTCGCGCGCAGACTTGACGACTTCCAGCCTCCCGAACAAGCCGGTTTCCGAAAGGGCTTTAGCACCATAGACCACATACATACCCTTCGGCAAATTGTACAGAAGTCCGAAGAGTACAATTTGCCACTATGTCTGGCGTATGTGGACTATGAGAAAGCCTTTGATTCCGTCGAAATTTGGGCGGTGCTGCAGTCCCTTCAGCGGTGCCAAGTTGACTGTCGATATATCGAAGTGTTGAAGTGCTTGTACAGTAGGGCTATGATGGCTATCCGAGTACAGAACCAGAGTACGAAACCTATCCAATTGCAGAGAGGAGTAAGACAGGGTGACGTCATATCCCCGAAACTCTTCACCGCTGCATTGGAAGACGGTTTCAAGCTTCTGGACTGGAAAGGATACGGTATCAACATCAATGGCGAGTACATCACTCACCTTCGATTTGCCGACGATATAGTCCTTATGGCAGAATCGCTGGAGGACCTAAGCACTATGCTCAATGACCTCAATAGTGTTTCCCAACGGATAGGTCTTAAGATGAACATGCACAAAACAAAAATCATGTTTAATGTCCATGTCACACCTATGCCGATAGTTGTTGGGAGCACTAAGCTCGAAGTTGTTGACGAGTATGTTTACCTGGGACAAATAGTTCGACTAGGTAAGTCCAACTTCGACCGAGAGGTCAATCGACGGATTCAACTCGGCTGGGCAGCGTTCGGGAAGCTACGACACATCTTCTCGTCAGACATACCTCAAAACCTTAAAACGAAATTGTACAACCAGTGCGTGTTGCCAGTGATGACATACGGAACTGAGACGTGGTCCTTCACTGCTGGCCGTATGAGGAAGCTCAAGGTCGCTCAGCGAGCTATGGAGAGGGCTATGCTCGGAGTTTCTCTGCGTGATAAAATTAGGAATGAGGATATCCGCAGTAGAACCAGAGTAACCGACATAGCCCAACGGATTAGTAAGCTGAAGTGGCAGTGGGCCGGCCATATAGCTCGAAGAACCGACAACCGATGGGGAAGAAAGGTTATCGAGTGGCAGCCTCGTACCGGTAGGCAAAGTGTAGGGCGTCCCCCCACGAGATGGAGTGACGACCTGGTAAGACATGCAGGAAGTCGATGGATGCAGGTGGCTCAGGACCGTGCTTTGTGGCATTCTTTGGGGGAGGCCTATGTTCAGCAGTGGACTTGTGAAGGGCTGTAATGATGATGATGATGACATTGCGTCAGTGGTTTGATTTTTAATTTTTTGCACTTAATAACTCTTTAAAAAAAACGGCTTTTAGTTATATTTTATAGTTTGGTTTATTCATTTCTAATATAATTATATATAAAATATACCTAATAATACAGAAAGAAACCTTAAAAATTACATTTTCCTAAGAAATTATCATCCCCGCTATGAAATCTGTCAAATATTTTACCTCACTGTAAAGTGGCGCCGCCCTGGTGGCAGAAAAAGTCGTGGATGCCCTCATTTACTATTTACACCAAAAAAAATGTAACAACCGAACTTGCAGACTACTTGATGCTAAGTCAAATGCCTCACAGTCTGTAACTATACTCTCTCCTTGTCCAAAGCGGTTTTACAAATTGTAGTACTCGTATATACACATGCAAATGCCATCACAAAAGTTTATATGGATGGGTACATAATCTATAATTTAAAAATGAATCGCTGAATGTGTTGCTAAGCGCAAATCTCGAGAGCAGCTGAACCGATTTCGCTAATTCGTTTTTTATAATATTCCTTGAAGTACGAACATGGTTTTTACGGAGAGAAAAATTAAAAAAATTGTCTGAAAAAGTCTAAAAACAACAGTTTTCTATATTCCCATACAAAAGATTCGTAATAATACTTAAAAGTCATTTTGAACTTTAATACCATACCATAAAGTTTAAGTGTTAGTGGTGGGGTTCCGGGAGGGCAAAACAATTGAGTGACGTTAGTATCGTATAAATATTAATGTAAATATTTTTCAATATTTGACGATGGTAACATTACTCAAAAACAAAATTAGGGTTTCGCGCAAAAAAATTGATATCCATGAAATCGTAGTAAATTCCATGCGGGCGAAATCGCGAGGCACTGCTAGTATAATATAATTTGTTACACGTCCTCGGACAAGGAGCTTCGTGTAATTATGGTTGAAATTTACTTAAGGTAAGTTCTTATAACCATTTAATTATACTGGCTCTCTATCTAGCTCATTTCTATATAGGAGCTATTTCTTTTGATATCCATCGGGGACTTATGTACATATATAAATTTTTAATTTCTCTTGGATTCACTATTACGACCCTTTGCAGAACGATAGACTTTCATACATAACGGTCCATACCCTTAAGGAAAAGGTAAGGGAATGGCACCGTCCCAGACGGACTCCTGGATAGGAAAGAAGTCAGAAAAGAAGAAGTAAAAGTGTATACATAAAAGGAGTCCGTGGACTCCTTTTATGTATACACTTTTACAACAAAATCCCAGAAAATA